AAAAAAAAAAAAAAAAAAAAAAAAAAAAAAAAAAAAAAAGCAGCGTGGGGTCCCCCCCTCCCCCAAGTCCATACCAGACCCTTTAGGGTAAAAAAAAAAAAAAAAAAAGTACGCAGGTTCCCCCTAGAAGCCATACCAGGCCGACCTGTCTGCACCTGCCGAGCACTAGCCACAATCTGACAGATGTGACATTTGCCAGTCAGATGTAAAAAAAAAGGGGGGAGCTAGCAGTGACATCACCTCTGCCCAACTGTGCTGTGATTGGCCAAAGCATTCCACCTGACCTATGGTCAGGTGCATTGCTTTGACCAATCATTGCTCTCACAATGCACTGTGAGCAGGGGCAGACTGACAACTCATGGGGCCCCTGGGCAATAGGGGATCATGGGCCCCTGTGTCCTTGTCCAAACTCAAAAAAGCCTATGAAAAAGGTACCAGGGGCATCTCATGGGGCCCCTACTGACCCCAGGCCCTCGGGCAGTTTCCAAATGGTCAGTCCGCCCCTGACTGTTAGAGCGCAATGCATTGTGGGGCCCTTACCGTTTGTGTGTTTGGCAGACACACGAATGACGAAGTTCGAGTCGAACTTACGTTAGAAGTTTACATTCCTTGTAATAGGAATAAAAGCAATAAAAAATATAAAAGGGACAGTGTAAAAATAAAAAATAAAATAAATTTAAAAAAATATAAAACACCCCCAGTACTCTGTGGTCACGCACAGAAGTGAATGCATACGTAAGTCATGCACACATATGGTGTTCGTAGCACACGTGAGGTATCGCCATGACCGTTAGAGCGAGAGCAATAATTCTAACGTAACTGTAACTAAACAGGTAACCTACAAAAAATGTTTAAAGCTTTGCCTATGGAGATTTTTAAGTACCGTAGCTTGGTGCCCAGGGGCGTATTTACCACGCGGCAAACTAGGCACTAGCCTAGGGCAGCAGTTTTCAGGGGGGATGCACCTCCCTCCCCAGAAGAAGGGATGAAAGAAGGGACCATAGGAAACAGGTGGGATCCGAGAGAGGCTGCAGGCTGCTTGATGGTGTATGTAGAGCCTGACTCTCGTTCCCGGGGATGTCTGAAGCTGTGAAGATGAGTGTCTTTCTCTCTATCGCAAGCGGGAATAGGGGGGTAGTGGAAGGCTCTCTCAGGTGGGGGGCAGGGGTGTTGTTGGTCAATCTCAGGCTCTCTATGTGGGGGGGGGGGGGGGGAGGGGGGGGGTGTTGGTCAGTGTCCATGGGGGCAGACGTCTTTTGTGTTGTCTAGGGTAGCATAAAACCTAAATACACCACTGTTGGCGCTATTCCACATGCGTGCAGCAAGCGTGAATTGTTAGGTATCTATTCACTGTAACATCCTCTTTCATATTTTACAAAAATTGGGGTATATATTGTGTTTTTTTGGGGTTTTTTTAAAGAGTATTTCCCCCAATTTTTTTCTAAACCGCTACGCAAATACCGTGTGACATGAAAAATTGCAACGATTTCCATTTCATTCTCTAGGGTGTAACGGAACCAACCCAGACTACACTTGGGTATTAGACAACCGCTTCCCCATCCGAACACCGACAACAGACACCACAGCTGACCATGCAAAACTAGACGACACCAATCCAAAAGTAAATCCAGACAGTAGACTACTTTATTTGAACACAGATACAAGATATATACACTCAAGAGACAAATCCCCCTCCCTGCATAATGTCACAGGGCGGGGCAATCTACATTTAGTAACAAAAGACACACAGGTATTCAAACTTCACACCAGCAGACAGTCCCATCAGGAGGGAGGGCTGCTGGAGACAACCCCTCCACTAAGCTAATACACAAACACATACATCCCTTAATAGTTTGCTCCCAAGCAAGACACACAATAGAACAATGGGACACAACCACATGGTATTACACAATCCACAACCCCCCACCTCACCTATCTCCTAGACATGTCTACACAATATTGGGACAGATCACCCTGTACCCCTAACAGGCACAGGGTGACTTACACATAATAGGGATATGCTGAGACAGGGGTCTCCCCACCTCTCCAAAGTAAGCTGGGTTCCATGGGCCCCCCACCCAAAGTGACTCCTGTCACATAGGATTTTTGGCAAAAATATATACGTAATGTTTGGGGCCCACCTCACAATTTTCCAGCAATAAATACTGATGTAAAAAAAATGTGCCAGAAAATGCTTGGTCTTCAATCATTTCCATATGCTTTGTTCTCAGACAGACCTCAAGGCACCTCTGGACAGTATTGTATGGACCAGCCCAAAAGAACTGAATCGCTAGAAGGGAGATCTGTCACCATTCCGTGTCAATTTGCATTTCCAGAATTGGAGAACAGCACCATGTCTGAAAATATCATTGTGAAAGCATCTAAGCTAAATTACTGTGGAGAAAATAATCATTTTGCCATTTATTGCTCCAATACAGGATGTTTCTCCTCTAAGTACCAGGAAAGGCTAAATGTGACATTCAATGTAACACACAGACATGCCTCAATAACAATCACCAATGTAACGAAGGAGGATGCTACACGTTATTGCTGCCGTATAGAACTGAGTTTTCCCAATGGAACCATCTTACAATGGCAAATCCCAGATGGTACGCAGCTTTCAGTGAAAGGTAATCCAAGATCACGTTATATATACAGTCAGGGGCATCCCTAGGGTTGGTGTCACCCGGTGCGATAACACTTGGTGACACCCCTTCCTACGATCCCAGCAGAATGGATCAGATCTGCGAAATGAGCATAACGTAACGGATTGGACTCCGATCCATTATGCTCAATCCGCAGATCCGATCCATCCTGCGGGGATCATTGGCATGCAACCTATACGGGGTGACACCGGACCCGCTCCACGAAAAGGTAAGTTGTAAAGAAAGCCGACAATCCCCGCAGGATGGATCAGATCCATCCTGCGGGGATTGTCGGCTTGCTTTACGACTTACCTTTTCGTGGAGCGGGTCTGGTGTCATCCCGTGCGGTAGGTGTCACCCGGTGCGGGCCATACCCCCCACACCTGCCTCAGGACGCCACTGTATACAGTGTATTCATAATGTATTCAGACCGCTTCACTTTTTTCAATTTTGTTATGTTGCAGCCTGATACTACAGTTATTTCAATTCATATTTTTTCTCAATAATTTACACTCAGCACCCCATAATGACAAAGTGAAAACAGAATTTTAAAAATGTTTGCAAATGTATGAAAAAGGAAAAACCAAAATATCACATTGGCATAAGTATTCAGACCCTTTGCAAAAATGCTTGAAGTTTAGCTCAGGTGCCTCCCATTTCCCTTGATTGTTGCTGAGAACAGGGGCGGACTGACCATTTGGGAACTCGGGCACTGCCCGAGGGCCCGGGGTCAGAAGGGGGCCCCATGAGATGCCCCTGGTACCTCTCTCATTGGCTTTTTTGGGTGTGGTTTGAGTGTGGGCAAGGACACAGGGGCCCCATAGTCCCCTATTGTCCGGGGGCCCCATGAGTTGTCAGTCCGCCCCTGGCTGAGAAGCTTCTACACCATGACTGAAGGTCCACTTGTGGTAAATTACATTTATTTGACGTGATTTTGGAAAGGCACACACCTCTCTATAAAAGGCCTCATAGCTGACAATGAATACTGTATCAGAGCAAAAGCCATTAGGTCAAAGGAACTAACAGCTCAGAGACAGGATTGTTGCAAGGAAGGCACATACCTGGGGGAGGCTACAAAAAATGTCTGCTTCACTGAAGGTTCCCAAGAGGACAGTGGCCTCCATAATTCTCAAATGGAAGAAGTTTGGCTCAACCAGGGCCCTTCCAAGAGCTGGTCATCCAGTCAAACTGAGAAACTGAGGGGAAAAGGGCCTTAGTAAGGAGAGGTGACCAAGAACCTGATGGTCACTCTAACTGAGCTCCAGAGATCCTGTGTGGAGATGAGACAAAGTTCTAGAAGGACAACCATCACTGCAGCCCTCCACCGATCTGGGCCTCATGGCAGAATGCCTACACAGAAGCCTCTCCTCAGTGCAAAACACATGAAAACCTGCTTGGAGTTTGCAAAAAAAGTACCTGAGGGACTCTCAGACTGTGAGGAACAGGATTCTCTGGTCTAATAAAATGAAGAATTAACAATTTGGCCTCAATTCTAAACAATGTATCTGGAGGAAATCAGGCACCTGCCCAATACCATCCCAACAGTGAAGCATGGTGGTTGCAGCATCATGCTGGGGGGGGGTGGTTTTCAGCAGCAGGGAAGAGGAGACTGGTCAGGGTTGAGGGAAATATGAATGGAGCAAAGTACAGAGATTTTCTCAATGAAAATCATTTTCACAGCCCTCAGAACTTCAGACTGGGCTGAAGGTTCATCTTCCAACATGACAATAATCGTAAGCACACAACCAAGACAACAGAGGAGTGGCTTAGGGACAACTCTGTGAATGTCCTAGAGTGGCTCAGCCAGAACCCTGACTTGAACCCTACTGAACATCTGTGGAGAGACCTGAAAATGGCTGTCCACCAACGGTCCCCATCCTACCTTACTGGGCTTGAGGGCAAAAGAATCCAGGTGTGCGAAGCTTGTGGCATCATACCCAAAAAACTCTGTAATTGGTGCCAAAGGTGCTTCAACAAAGTACTTAGCAAAGGGTCTGAATACTTAAAAAGTGTTACTAAACCCACAACAGTAAAATCAGTCTGTATATGCCAGGGTTCTCCAAACTATGGCCCTCCAGGTGTTGAGGAACTGCAAAGTCCGGGGAGAGCGGATATAGTGAATGCAGAGTCCGGGGAGACCAGATATAGTGAATGCAGGGTCCGAGGAGAGCGGATATAGTGAATGCAGGGTCCAGGGAGACCGGATATGGTGAATGCAGGGTCCGGGGAGACCAGATATAGTGAATGCAGGGTCCGGGGAGAGCGGATATAGTGAATGCAGGGTCCGGGGAGAGCGGATATAGTGAATGCAGGGTCCGGGGAGAGCGGATATAGTGAATGCAGGGTCCGGGGAGAGCGGATATAGTGAATGCAGGGTCCGGGGAGAGCGGATATAGTGAATGCAGGGTCCGGGGAGAGCGGATATAGTGAATGCAGGGTCCGGGGACACCAGATATAGTGAATGCAGGGTCCGGGGAGACCAGATATAGTGAATGCAGGGTCCGGGGAGACCGGATATAGTGAATGCAGGGTCCGAGGAGACCGGATATAGTGAATGCAGGGTCTGGGGAGACCGGATATAGTGAATGCAGGGTCCTGACAGAGCGGATATAGTGAATGCAGGGTCCGGGGAGAGCAGATATAGTGAATGCAGGGTCCGGGGACACCAGATATAGTGAATGCAGGGTCCAGGGAGAGCAGATATAGTGAATGCGGGGTCCGGGGAGAGCGGACATAGTGAATGCAGGGTCCGGGGAGACCAGATATAGTGAATGCAGGGTCCGGGGAGACCAGATATAGTGAATGCAGGGTCTGAGGAGAGCGGATATAGTGAATGCAGGGTCCGGGGAGACCAGATATAGTGAAATGCAGGGTCCGGGGAGACCAGATATAGTGAATGCAGGGTCATAAGACATTTCAAAATTCCTGTTTTCACTTTGTCATTATGGGGTACTCAGTGTAGACTAATTTCTTACCGTCCACCCATTGCCTATAGACGGCTGATGGGAAGCAGCATTGACTCAACCTGTACGTCAGCCCGCATAGGAGGCTCCTGCATGGCTCACAGAGTGCACACCCGGGAGCCCGGTGATCCGCGTGTCACCCGGGCACAGCACATCACATACCACTGTGTCCCAGTGGTCACATGATATTTTATCATGTGATTGCTGTGTCAAATCACAGCAATCACATAGTAAACAATACCGAGTAAAGATCGGTTCTTTCCATGTGAGAGCAGAGAGACGCGATCCTGCAGCCTATGAGTGTAGAGCACAACTGGTGTCGTTGTTGGTGAAGGCACATTGTCAAAAGAAAGATTTAAATGGCACAAATCATCATTATATATTGATGGAATCATGATATGGAGATGGACTCTATTATTTAGTAGTTTTTTGTTCATATTTATTATAATTTTTTTCACATTGGAATTCTATATGCACTATTGGCTACCATTAAGAGAAGTGCAGCACGATCATTTTATGTTTTCTGTATTTAGCACATTTTTATGAGTATGTGTAGGTATGAGCAGCATTTCTAAATTTTCAATTTTATTTTAATTTACACTGTTTTGGGATTGCTCGCAGGTTTTCACATTTATATCACATGTCCAACACTGTCATATGGTGGGTGCCATGCAGTGCTAAAACAAGGTCATCCACTTTCCAGGGCAAAGACGGCAAACTAGACCCTCCCTGGAGGATGGGGTGAAGCTAATAGTGACTGAGATCTATGTAATGTTTGAAATGTATGCACTGAAATAAATCCAATAGTTGTGGACAGGGGCGGACTGACCATTCGAGCACTCGGGCACTGCCCGAGGGCCGGGGTCAGTAGGGGGCCCAATAAAATGCCCCTGGTATCTTTTATAGGCTTTTTTTGGGTGTGTTTTGAGTGTGGGCAAGGACACAGGGGCCCCATGATCCCCAATTGCCCGGGGGCCCCATGAGTTCTCAGTCCGCCCCTGGTTGTGGAACATTGTAGTGAACTCAAGAGTTTAAAAACTGATGCACAAATATGGGGCTAACAGTGGCAGAGAGAAAAAAAAAATGTTCCTGCATCAGTGGTGTGGTGGTGCATCAAACTAAAGGGATCTAAGGGGGCTCTGTGTGAGGAAGGGCTGTTGAAAGGGCTCGTTCAGATGTGCAGCTATCATTGCTACTGCTCATAAAACTGATACGAGGCAGATCACTTTTCAGAGGGTGTTTGACAGGGGATGAGGAGGCAATATGTCACCTCCTTGCCACGTGCTTCAACTCAGTTGCAGTGTGGCCCCATTCCATTCCATTTCATTCTTGCTACTGCTTTTCATTTTTGCAACAGCTGCAGCTCCTTTTTTTTAGGTTGGTGGTTGGGGGCTGGGCTGGTCTGCGCTCACTCAACTGAGTTTTAAGAAATTGTGCATTTTATTCCCTGGGCAGAAAACCCGAGGTGAAAGGAATTGAGTTTGATGATCTCTCAGAAATAGTAGGTTGGCCCTATTTAAGGCTTTGGGCCTCTGTTGTTTCCTTTTCACTTCTTTGGATTTGGAGCTGGCTGTTGTAAGTACGCACCCAGTTGGCTCTTTCACTGGGGCCCTCTGAAGTTTTCCCTCTGGACTTCCAAATAGCAGCATCTGTAGCACCTTCAAGGCTTCTTCCAGCAATTTTCAGGGCAAGCAACAACCCCTAGCAGGTTTTAGGGCGAGCAATAACCCCAGAAAGTTTCAGAGCAAGCAACAACCCCTAGCTAGTTTCAGGGCAAGCAATAACCCCTAGCAAGTTGCAGAGCAAGCAACAATCCCCAGCACAATATTAACCCCCAGCACAATGAATTTGCTGCACTTGTGCAGCTCATTATACATTTCAAAGGAGACTGTGAGCAGGCAGGTAGGTTTCTTTTATTGCAAAAAATACATTGCATGTCTCTTCTGCAATAAAGAGTCTGCCTACTTGCAATTTTTAAAAGCGGGGCTTTAGTTCCACTTTACATTGACTCAAAACTACTTCTTAGCAGACTGATCTGGAAGTTTGCTTATCCTCCTCCCCCCCCCTCCTCTCTCCTTTTGGGGGGGGGGTTATACCTAGTTTTGACATGTACCCGCTTCCGCTGGAATTACCTAAGATATCCCAATGGAAGTCCCCCCCCCGCCATTCACAAAGTTCAACGTGACATGCACATGCACAGTGGAGATCTGGCTGTGAAGACAGACAAAAGCCGGCTTCCCACAGTCAGCATGCTGGCACTGGGGATCTGAAGACCAGCAAAGAAGAATCGGCCTGGGTGAGGACAGCACTGGACCCTGGACAAGTAAGTGTCTTTTTATTAAAAGTCAGCGGCTACAGTATTTGTAGATGCTGAATTTGTAATTTTTGCAACCTGACCGAAGAGCCTTTTTAAAGGATAAGTTCACCTTTTAGACAAAAATAATACCTGAAAAAAAATGTGCATTTATTATTTTTTGTCTACAGGAGCCTGGAAAGCATTGCACCAGTGATCGATAGAGCGCTGATGCCATGCACGTCTCCTGTCACAATATCTGCTTAATGTACTGGATGTACGTGATGTACGGGATGTACGGGGTGTACGGGATGTATGGGGTGTACTGGGGATATACGGGATGTATGGGATATACGGAATGTACGGGGTGTATGGGATATACGGGATGTATGGGATATATGGGATGTACGGGGTTTACGGGATGTACGGGGTGTACGGGATATATGGGATGTACGAGGTGTATGGGATATACAGGATGTATGGGACGTATGGGGTGTACGGGATGTACAGGGTGCACGAGATATACAGGGTGTACGGGATCTACTGGATGTACGGGGTGTACAGGATAAGTACTGGATATATGGGATGTACAGAATGTACAGGATGTACAGGGTGTATGGGATGTACAGGGTGTACGAGATGTACAGGGTGTACGGGATATACGGGATGTACAGGGTGTATGGGATGTACACGGTGTACGAGATGTACAGAGTGTACGGGATATACCGGATGTATGGGGTGTACGGGATATACGGGATGTACAGGATATACGGGATGTACGGGATATACAGGATGTATGGGGTGTACAGGATGTATGGGGTGTACAGGATGTACAGGGTGTATGGGATATACAGGATGTACAGGGTATACAGGATAAGTACTGGATATACGGGATGTATGGGGTGTACAGTATATACGGGATGTATGGGATATACGGAATGTACGGGGTGTATGGGATATACGGGATGTATGGGATATATGGGATGTACGGGGTTTACGGGGTGTACGGGATATATGGGATGTACGAGGTGTATGGGATATACAGGATGTATGGGACGTATGGGGTGTACGGGATGTACAGGGTGCACGAGATATACAGGGTGTACGGGATCTACTGGATGTACGGGGTGTACAGGATAAGTACTGGATATATGGGATGTACAGAATGTACAGGATGTACAGGGTGTATGGGATGTACAGGGTGTACGAGATGTACAGGGTGTACGGGATATACGGGATGTACAGGGGATGTGTATGGGATGTACACGGTGTACGAGATGTACAGAGTGTACGGGATATACCGGATGTATGGGGTGTACGGGGATATACGGGATGTACAGGATATACGGGATATACGGGATGTACGGGATATACAGGATGTATGGGGTGTACAGGATGTATGGGGTGTACAGGATGTACAGGGTGTATGGGATATACAGGATGTACAGGGTATACAGGATAAGTACTGGATATACGGGATGTATGGGGTGTACAGTATATACGGGATGTATGGGTTATATGGGATATACGGGGTGTATGGGATATATGGGATGTACAGGGTGTACGGGATGTACAGCCCACAGCACGGATTTCCTCAGGGCGCGGGATCTAAGTCCCAGCCTGCTATTCACCAGGGCCCCTGATGGTTGGGATGGACTTGGTGCAGCCTGGAACCAGGTCGCGACCCCTGAGTGCGTCCGGCTGTGGTAGAGAGTACTGGCAGGGGAGTGCAGGAACGGAGTCTGATGGGAAGAGGCAGGCAGACTTACTAAAGGTGATCCGTGCGGGATGGATGGATTGTCGGTCGAAGTAAGCGTAGTCAGACAGGCCGGGTCGGTATTGTGCGGGCAGCGTGGTACAGGAGGAGCAAGCAGAGAATGGTCGGGGTCACAAGCCAGGTTCAGTAGGTAGCAGGCAGCGCGGTACCAAGGATCAGGCAGAGGGATGGTCAGGCAAGCCAGGGGTTCAACAGGAGACGGTCAGCAGAGATCAGGATCAAAGCAGGGTCAGCAACGAGGCAGGAACACAGGATACCAGGTACAGGGGCTCATGGGAAACATACACCAAGGCCCTGATCACAGGCCTGGTCATTCCACAAATCAGCCCCAGGTGCCGGCTGACTACAGGAGTGAGCTTCTGGCCGCTGAGAGCACCCGCCGGCCAGCCCCAACACTGCAGCCCACACGGCAGGTGAGTCCCACAACCAGTGCTGAGCCCATTCCTGACAGTACCCCCCATCAAGGACCGGCCTCAGGACATTCCAAACAGTCCTTAGTGGGCAAAATGTTCCACCGCCCGGGTCAGGTAACTGGCTGGATATCTTACTGCCGGAGTCAACCGGCTGGCTGGGTTTCCTGCTGGCAGACTTCTCTTTATGTAGGGGAACCCAGGAAGGCAGGTCGCTGGACACAGGATTTCCAGGAGCAGGCTGGGAATCAGTTATTGGCCAGTTTAGCTGGGCAGCGGGCGGAGGCACGTCAGGCTGGGCAGCGGGCAGGGGCACATCAGGCTGGGCAGCGGACGGGGGTACGTCAGGCTGGGCAGCGGATGGGGGCACGTCAGGCTGGGCAGCGGACGGGAGCACGTCAGGCTGGGCAGCGGACAGAGGCATGTCAGGCTGGGCAGCGGATAGAGGCACGTCAGCGGGCACCGAGTCATCTGGCAAGACAGCGGCACCGAGTCATCTGGCACGACAGCGGGCACCGAGTCATCTGGCACGACAGCGGGCACCGAGTCATCTGGCACGACAGCGGGCACCGATTCATCTGGCACGACAGTGAGCTCTGAGTCATCTGGCAGAACCGCAGGCACCAGGTCACCAAGCTCGACAGCGGGCACCGAGTCATCTGGCACGACAGCGAGCTCCGAGTCATCTGGCACGACAGCGGGCACCTAGTCATTTGGCAAGACAGCGGGCACTGAGTCATCAGGCAAGACAGCGGGCACCGAGTCATCAGGCAAGACAGCGGGCTCCGAGTCATCTGACAGAACCGCGGGCACCGGATCACCAAGCTCGACAGCGGGCACCGAGTCATCTGGCATGACAGCGGGCACCGAGTCATCTGGCACGATGGCGGGCCCGAGTCATCTGACACGACAGCGGGCTCCGAGTCATCTGGCACGACAGCGGGCTCCGAGTCATCTGGCACGACAGCGGGCACCGAGTCATCTGGCACGACAGCGAGCTCCGAGTCATCTGGCAGAACCGCGGGCACCGGGTCACCAAGCTCGACAGCGGGCACCGAGTCATCTGGCACGACAGCGGGCACGAGTCATCTGGCACGATAGCGGGCACCGAGTCATCAGGCAAGACAGCGGGCACCGAGTCATCTGGCCCAGAACCGCGGGCACCGGGTCACCAAGCTCGACAGCGGGCACCGAGTCATCTGGCACAACAGTGGGCTCCGAGTCATCTGGCAGAACCGCGGGCACCGGGTCACCAAACTCGACAGCGGGCACTGAGTCATCTGGCAAGACAGCGGGCTCCGAGTCATCTGGCAAGACAGTGGGCTCCGAGTCATCTGGAACGACAGCGGGCTCCGAGTCATCTGGCACGACAGCGAGCACCGAGTCATCTGGCAAGACAGCGGGCTCCGAGTCATCTGGCAAGACAGCGGGCACTGGGTCACCAAGCTCGACAGCGGCACCAGGTCATCTAACATCAGGTCATTTGGCTCGACAGCGGGCACCGGGTCATCTGGCTCGACAGCGGGCATCGGATCATCAGGCATCAGGTCATCTGGCTCGACAGCAGGCTTCGGGTCATCAGGCATCAGGTCATCTGGCTCGACAGCAGGCATCGGGTCATCAGGCATCAGGTCATCTGGCTTGACAGCAGCAGGCACCGAGTCAACTGGCACGACAGCGGGCACCGAGTCGTCAGGCATCGGATCACCTGGCTTGACAGTGGGCACCAGGTCATCTGGCAGGACAGCGGGCAACAGGTCATCTGGCAGGACAGCGGGCAACATGTCATCTGGCAGGACAGCGGGCACCGGGTCATCAGGCATCGGATCGTCCGGCACGACAGCGGGCACCAGGTCATCTGGCAAGACAGCGGGCACCGAGTCATCTGGCATGATAGGATCATCAGGCTGGGTAGAAACCATCAGGCTGGGTAGAACCATCAGGCCGGGCAGAACCATCAGGCCGGGCAGAACCATCAGGCCGGGCAGAACCATCAGGCCGGGCAGAACCATCAGGCGGGCAGAACCATCAGGCTGGGTAGCGTACACTGGGTCATCAGGCATCAGGGTATCAGGCTGAACCATGGAAAGGTGGGTTCTCAGATGGCAGACTGACCGGTTTGGATACTAGCAGAATGGTACTGGTTGGAAAGAATTTTCGCCTTTTCCTGGTTTTAGTTACTGGAGCACTGTAAGTAAGTGTAGGTTTGTAAACAGAGCAGTTGTAGGCAGAGAAGAGCTGGGGGATGGAACAAAGGAAGGAGCAGTTGCTAAAGAGAACTTGTTTACAGGGTTAAAGGCAGGATAGGTGCAGCGAGTGGGAGCAGGGTACGGACAGGTGGTAGGTAGTAGGGTATACTGGGCTGTCACTGGGGGTGCTGTCGGGAATGCAGGAAGAGAGCTCTGAGCAGAGAAATGATGAGAAGAAGGACTGGTTTGTTGCAAGCTGACTGAGGTTGGGTGTAACAACGACCATATCTGCAGTATGGGTTGAACAAAGCTCAGCTTACACAAAGTCTGTCTGGTCAAAGACTGCACTGCGTTTATACAATCCCTTAGTACCTGTTGTGAACATGCAGAATAACGCTCCAAGAAGCACTCCGGATCATCCTCTAATAACCACACCAGGGACTCTACCTGGTCTGCACTAAATGGCGGCAAAAAGTCATTCCTGCTTTCAGGGGTACTAGATGAAGCCAACTCTGCACAAACCTGAATCAAAGGTTGCACCTCAGAGAATTCTGTACCCTAATCTACTAGAACATGAGCGACCCGTATACATTCTAGCAGTTGATTCCTGGTATACTCCTTTCAGAGTCTGATAAGCATACTCTCTGTCATCAAAGACCAGCAGACACAAATATACAACCTCATCAGGATGCATCCTTCACAATAAGCCAAGATGGCTTCCCTGTGCAGCCACTTCTGGTCAGGAATGGCCTTGGTTTCTGTTAGGGATCCGGGTATGACCAGAAATGTGTGGACTGACACAGGGAAGTAGTAGGCTTCAGGAACACAGGCATAGTCAGGCGTAAGGTACTGTCAGGTGCCGCCTGGCAGTGTCTCTAGCAGCCCACAGCACGGATTTCCTCAGGGCGCGGGGTCTAAGTCCCAGCCTGCTATTCACCAGGGCCCCTGATGGTGGGGATGGACTTGATGCAGACTGGAACCAGGTCGCGACCCCTGAGTGCGTCCAGCTGTGGTAGAGAGTAGTGGCAGGGGAGTGCAGGAACGGAGTCTGATGGGAAGAGGCAGGCAGACTTACTAAAGGTGATCCGTGCGTAATGGATGGATCGTCGGGTGAAGTAAGCGTAGTCAGACAGGCCGGGTCGGTATCGTGCGGGCAGCGTGGTACAGGAGGAGCAAGCAGAGAATGGTCGGGGTCACAAGCCAGGTTAAGCAGGTAGCAGGCAGCGCGCGGTACAGAGGATCAGGCAGAAGGATGGTCAGGCAAGCTAGGGGTTCAACAGGAGACGGCCAGCAGAGGTCAGGATCAAAGCAGGGTCAGCAACGAGGCAGGAACACAGGATACCAGGTACAGGGCTCATGGGAAACATACACCAAGGCCCTGATCACAGGCCTGGTCATCCACAAATACACCTCCCGCAATCTGCCCCAGGTGCCGGCCGACTACAGGAGTGAGCTTCTGGCCGCTGAGAGCACCCGCCGGCCAGCCCCGGCACTGCAGCCCACACGGCAGGTGAGTCCCACCACCAGTGCTGAGTCCATTCCTGACACTATCTGCCAGAGGGGGCAGCGGGCAGCAGCTGCGGCTATGGGAGCATGTTACATGTTTTACCCTAAAAACAGGTGGGAACATGTAAGATGTTCCCAAAGGTGGACTTATCCTATAACAATGTTTACTTTGATTAGGCTGTCTACCTGGAGTTCCGTTTTTAAAAAAATGTTGGCGTAGGTTGATGTTTTTGTTCTGCACATTTTTTTCTAATAATATTTTTTTCAATATCAGGTAGGAATGAACCTGTTCTGGAGACAATACTGGAGATCTTTGCTGCTCCTGGAGATAATGTGACCCTTTTGGGTCACTTCACAAGTAACATGACATCTGCAAGTAACGTCACCTGCCATGTAAGGAGGACCCCAAACGTTGGTACTGCATGTGAAGACGGCATGAGTGCTGGAAATTGCACCTATAAGAATAATACTTTATCTTTCCAAATCAATCAAGTTACCAAGGAGGATGAAGCTTTTTATTGCTGGCAAGTGAAAATGTCTACCTATAATGAAGAGAAAAACACATATTATTATCTTGGACCGCAGCTTCACATTATAGGTGGGTGATTTTCTTTCTCTGTAGCACTACCTTCATGAGGACTGCTGTGTTGTGGGTATCCCTCAACTTCCCTCCGCACAGCCAGGCCACAGGTATTTTTCACACAGACTTGCATCCAAAGACAGTGACCAGTCCATGAACTTGGTTTTGCTGTTTTATTACAGGAATTTAACTTGGATAGGGATATAGGGATTATGGGATGCCCAGTTTGGCTTGAAACAATGGAAGAGGGACACTTCCCTTCTATGTACAAAGCAGATCCTGGATTGCTCTTTTTCCGAAAGCCGTCAGCCATTGCAGATCAGTAGCACAAGCCCCTTATGGGTGAGGAACTAGCAGCCCCTTAAAATCAGCCTAGCTTCTGGTGGCTACATGCAGGGATGTCTTCTCTTCCCCTGTAGAGCTGCTCTACAGGCTGGAAACACCACCAGCCCTCCTGGCTTCTCGGAAGATCTCCCAGGGCAAGGATAAAGGATGGAGCCCAGTGCTGTCCTTAGGAAGCTTACTACATGTAACAGTCTCTCCCCTTGTAGATCCCAAAGTATGGTGCTGTACTCACACTGTCCTCTTTTCTCCCTTCTGCTCCAGGCCTTGATCATATCCACGCCTCTCTGCAGATTGTATCCTCCTGAGCTAGCCTGAGCCCAGCCTAGAGGCCACCAACACCCCCCAGACGTAGGAGACCAACATTCCCATCAGCACTCCATCTTCCTCCCAACTCTCTCATATTTATAGGCCAGTCCACCACTCTACCAGGGCCTCCAAACCTGGGATTGGCCAGACCCCCATGAATAGGGATGGGCTACGTGTTCAAGTTGAACGTAAGTTCTACTTGAACATTGGCTGTTCGACTGTTTCGCCAAACACTGGAATGGTAAGGGCGTTCGAAGGGAAGTTCACCTGCGCGCCCCACAATGGAATGCGCGCATTGTGATTGGCCAAAGGTCAGGTGCAATGCTTTGGCCAATTACAGCTAAGTTCACAGGAAGAGCCATGAGTGACCAAAGCCTCAGTGACTTTGGCCAATCATGGCTCAGGGGCTAAGTCCATGCCCCACACTATATAAGGCTGCTTACACAGCTGCCTTGTGTAGTGTGTTGGTGGAGTTAGATAGGTGAGGATAGTTATGGGTGTGTTAGTAGACAGTGTAGTGAGTGTAGTGCAGCGTTGTGGAGCAGTGTTGTGGTCTCAGTGTGTTGTTTTCGCTACACCTCTGCATCACTGCCATTCCCATATTTTTTTTTTATTCTTTAAATTTTTTTGTGAATTTGTTTTTTTTTTTGTCAGCATCAGGTTCTGTTGCTGCATCTTTAGTGTTCCCCTTTTATGTGATAGGTTTTCCTCCTTCTGCGTCAGCAGTGGTTTCCTTTTTTTTGGGCTGCAGAACTAAAACCAATTGCGGCATAATTGCTGTTCTCCCCTTCTGCATCGCAGGTGTTCCTCCTTCTGCGTCTGCCATGGTTCACTTTTTTTTTTTTTTTTTTTACATTTATTTTATTTTTTTGCTGCTGTGGCCCAAAAAAATGTTGCCCCTATTTTCTATATATAAACTGTTTCGCTAATATTGTGTGATTTAAAAAAAATGGTATCTATTTTACTGTCTAGGATGTCTGCTTTCAGAAAATATATAATGTGTCGGGAGTTTTAAGTGGTATTCGAGCCTAAAATGATTTTTTAAACACGTGTGCAAAAACACAATAACAGCTCCGGCAGTGAAAGGGTAAAGCTGCTTTCATTTAAAAATGCAGCACTACATTAAAGCATCTCTTTTACATCTGCCTGCTTGGAGTTCAGCTCTAAATGCTTTCTTACAGTATTTTTCCTTGACTATTGCACCAGAGATAGGCTTGTCACTCCCCATTACCACCATGACCGTTCCGTACAAACCCCCTTTCCCCTTAACCAATTATACTTACAAAACACATGACACCAATTTTGGAGTAAATGGCCAACACGGCCTTTTATTAACAACACAAATTTAAATACACCAACCATTCCTTATAACAGAAACCCAAAGAATTGTTGTTGGTCTTCGAAGGCACCCCCAAACAATCTGAAATGCACCTGCGGACAACCATATACACTAGGCCTCCAGCCGCAACCAACCAGCTCGGAGACAACCATACCGTCCGCAGTGCAGCACCACCACCTTCCAGTTAAACCTTGGTTAACTGGGAATATCCCCGGGCATCCCATACCAAAGATGGGTCCCACACCATTGTTGTTTACCTTCCAAGATAAGAACCGCCTCCAAAGACCAACAACCGCCCAGGAACCAACATAATCCCCCTTTACCTGGAGGGACCCAATACTCATCAAAAACAGGGAGGGCGGGAGGGAAGCTCACACTCCTGACTTCCAGCTCAACTGACGCCCCCTCACTGAAACCCCCCACCCTAAGGTGCAGGAAACCCCACCTACTCTCAACCTTCCACCAACCAAATACCCCCACTATCAAAACAAACCCCTTGGATCTGCCTTAACCCTTTCTGTTCCTCCTTCCCCACTCTGGGCCTAGTCATGTATGCCCTGCGCCATTTCTTCTTTCTTTTTTGCTACGGGCATTTCTTTCCATAAATTATTTTTTCTTCACTTGAAATAT